CATAAAAATGGACCGTGCGCAATTGCAGACGGCATGCTCGCGCTTTCAGAATAGGATTGAAGCGGTGATCGAGGCGCAGGGCGGATACATTAAGTAAAATGTCTCAGAAAAGATCCCTTAACCCAGCTATAAAGCAGTCTATTTATGTTTTTTCNTATTTTCTGTAATAAACAACTTTTTCGAGAAAAAAATTTTTGTCCGGATTTAAGTGGCGGACCCTGTATATAAATATATGAAAAGAATAATTAACCCTCAACAGATCGCGTGTTTTCGGCACCTTCATTCGCCGTACATGGGTCGTTTTCGTCTTGGGTTTTTTAAAAATATTAAATATTTTTAAAAACATCTGAAAAAATGTCTATATACCATTTAAACTGTCTATTTTAAGACATCATCATTAAATTTAGTAAACATAAAGTTTTAATTTATAATTTTTAGCAAATATGACAACAAAAAACTTACTTTCTTCAGAAAGTAAATTTGCTCCATACGAAAACGATCCATGTCCTTCCGTTGAGGGTTAAGAATAAGACGCAAACAATTAAGTTATATATAATGCACTAAAAAAAGTGTTTGTCAAAACCATTCTACAAAAATGTGTAATATCCGCACAAAATACCTTTTCAAAAAAAGGTAAAAAAGGCGCCAAGTACATGCGCAACTCGTATCTCTAGAGAAAGTATTTCTATCAAAATCTTCTATTCTACAACAAAAATGATATCAATAAGTTACGCCAAATAAAATCTTTTATACACGGATACAAAAATATATAAAATATATAAAACTTTGTAAGTTGTTTATACGTTGTAAAATAGTTGCGCATGTACTTGGCGCCTTTTTTTACCTTTTTTTGAAAAGATATTTTGTTAAATGAAACGTTATAACGTTTCGATCTTCAGTTTAGGTCTTTATCAAATTAATTATGTCCTGTTTAACAAACTTCTTACAAGACAATGATGATAAGTAAGAGCTGTACATGATTGTCATCTGACTATCATCAGTAATGACTATCAGTCACGTACAGCTCTTGTTTGCGATACGGCTTATTGTAACATTTTACTTATCAAAAAATCACTGGTAAAAGGGCCAGTACGAGCCTAAGCACCGTTATTAGTGTGCAATGTTTAAGTTATTAAAAACAAATTAATACGTTTTGATTCTTTATTGAATCCTCTTCAGAAAATATAGAAAAAAGCTACAAATACGTAAATGGATCAAGAGCACTCTTATCCCAAGCGTTTGATTTCAGAGATGCTCTACATTAAGAAACATAACAATAGTTTGAACATGCAGAACGACACGGAGTTACTGAGTTACTGTGAGTAGTGTGTATTTACCATTGGTTGACAAACTAAAGAAATTGTAATTTGTATTCCGCGCGTAATTGACAATCTCTTCTTATTTGTTTTCCCTCTCTTTTCATGCGTACTTGGTTTGCTCTTGGAACACATGACTTGCCTTATTTTCAATTTAACAGTTTTCTAGACTCTAGACAACACTAGTGTGCTCGCATCTACATCTCGTACTTTAGTTTCTTTTTTATTTTATTTCACAATTTTGTAACTTTTTTTGACTATATGCCCCTTTTTATTTATTTCATCAAATTAGTTGTCTGTTTATACTTTTTTTTTAAACAGTGAAATTTTGGTGATTTGTGTTGCATTTGCTATACATGTGAGTAGTAGCCATTTAGATACTATTTATATCTTGAGATTGTACGTTTATCTATATTTTTATTTCTGAATTTGTAGGTTTTTTCTGTTTTCAGAAGAAGATTCAATAAGGAATCGAGACGTATTAATTTGTTTTTAATAACTTGAACATTGCACACTAATAACGGTGCTTAGGCTCGTACTGGCCCTTTTAACTGTGATTGTTTGAAATTTCCGGAGTCTTTCATCTACTTTATCTTACTTATTATTATCATTGTATTGTACAAAGTTTGTTAAACAGCACATAATTAATTTGATAAAGACCTAAACTNAAGGTCAAAACGTTATTATGTTTTATTTATATACATAAATAAATAATATTTTTATCATATATTGCACAACAACACCAGTGTTTTTAATTCCAACTGCCTGTCACGTTTGAAGTTCAAATAGTTTTATCAAAATAAATAATAATTATTATCGCAAAATATTTTACCTGAACAGCACCTTGAGAAAACATCCAAAACCTTTGGAAGTAGCTACTTTGGAAGTATAAGTAACTGTCATGACGTATCTCAAGTAATGAGATTTCTTTATATCTTTATCTAAACTTTTTCAAATAACAAGGATTGTAATACATGTTTTGGGACATCGATTGTGTCGAAACTTTGTAGAAATATAGATAGTTTGTTATTAATTACAGAGTAAAATATTTATCAAATGTTGTTTTTGATATAAAAATAACTAAATTGAAGAAATTTTATTTTTTTTATACGTTTATTTTTTTTTATAAATGATTTTAAAGTAAAATGTAAAACTTGTAAAATGTTTCTCTAATTTGACCAAAATCGTCTCGAATTGCTGGTTTGCGCAAGCAAAAACGGCCTCGAGTGCAAAGGGTTAAGACAAGTAAAGGTAAATTTTTCATTAGTGTTATAATTTACGAAATATTTTGTATCAAAAATTCATTGAAAAAAACGCGGAATAAAGGACAAGGTAGCGTCTAGAGAGTGACACTCATTCGATGGATACACTTATGTACCTACTTGGCGTCAAAACGCTGCCGCGTCTCTTGATTAAAATTTAAACACTACTCTAGCAATCACAAAATAATAGTACCAGAACAGTAGTTTGTATTACTGGTACTTTGTATTTGCTAGAGTATGTAATTATATAATGAATGTTATAAAATATATTAATTTTAATCTACCAAATACATTATCTCTTTAGTATAAAACAATTTCTAAGTTGTTTTCTATTTCCTCTAAAACAATATGGTCACCGTACACATATGTATCTTCAACTACCGAAAATAAGCTAATTATATTAGTAGTACGTGGCCACGTATGGCGCGTCAAAACAAACCCCCTCCACCTGGCCCCCCCACCACTTCTGGCGCCATTGCCCCACCACGGTGGATTTCCCCC